ACTCTCTGGGTGCCCCCCCCCCCCCCGCCTGCGGTCCCTATTCTGCGCACTCATCCGGGGCGGAGAGGAAACGGAAGAGAGGGAAGGGGCTTGGCGCGTCTCTTCGACGACTGAACTACTACTCCCAGCAGGCCATGCGGGGAAGGGAGGGGCGGGCCGGCTCAGGCCGGGGCCAGCCAGCCGGCCCCGCCGAGATCTTAGTCTTGAGACCGGCCCCGGGGCGGAGGACTTGGTATAACCCGCCTCTAGCCCCTCTCTGCCGCGTTTGGCAGTTTCAGGCTTAAGGACCAAAGAACCAAAGGGAGGCCTCAAACCTGGATGACGTGAGCGTCACTGGATTTTTAACGATTTTGACTTCACAAGGAGATGAGGACGTGACTTCATCACCACGATCATCAGTTTCACCCCATAATCGCATGCCTGGCCAAGCCTGGTGGTGGACTATCACCACCACTCTTAACAGCTAAGAACTTCCAGGGAAACTCCTTCCACAGGCTCTGTCCAGCCTAAGCCATGGCCATGTTTTGTAAATATCGGGTTTATAGGGCTTGCTTTGAAGCTACTTTTGCAAGCACACCCTACTTAAACTGTGTATTAGGTCAATACAAAATAAGGTTCTCCGAAAATGCTTTTATTCACACTTCACGTGTGATTAAGAAAATATCAGTTGTGAAGAATCTTGTTAGTTTGGATTTGTTGGGGGTAAGGGCGGTTATTGGAGATAAGTAGCTGGTGGAGCTTATGGGAGGCTAAAGCATCCATCCATCCCATCACCACCACGTCTTGGCATCATCATTCCCTCATTCATTAGACAAATTATTATACTTTCTTCTACCTCTAACTTTTTCTGACTGAGCCAGCAAGGCACCCCACTTCTGCCTCTGCCTTAACTATTATAATCTACCCAGAACCTCCTTCCAGCCACCTCCAGGCCCTGCCAAGCCTTTGAGCTGTTTTGTTTTTTTCTTACTTCCTGAGTGATTAGGACAGAGATGAAGAGAGAGAGAATTTTGCCTAATCTTATCTAAAGAAATCCTGTTTTGATTTCTTTACCTCTGCCTTCTTATTCTCCCCAAACTCTCAAGATTACTTGAATACCCTCCTCTAGGCTTTAGATTTAAGAGTCTATAGATTACATCCAGTCCACTCAGGCCAGCAAGAAACCAGCCATGAACATCAGGGCAAGTGGTTATTAGAGTTTCACACTAGGTGTGCAGAAGGCAAGACCTACAGGATGTGACACAAGTCCAGGCCATTATGTGGCATGCTCAGAGAGAGACAGGGGCCAAAGGCCAATGACTTGACACAATTGCAACATACAGTGTAAGAATTTTAAAATTGCACACACATCCCAGAATTCTCTAGTCCCCTTCCTCGTCCAACTTCATTAGACTTCTTACCATTTGACTTATGTTTTATTTTTATTTATTTATTTGAGAGAGAGAGAGCACGAGTGGGGTGAGCGGCAGAGGGAGAAGCAGACTCCCCGCTGAGCGGGGAGCCAGACGCTGGGCTTGATCTCAGGACCGTGGGATCATGACATCAGCCGAAGGCAGACTCTTAACTGACTGAGCCACCCAGGCGCCCCTGACTTACATTTTAAGTAAAACATAATCTTTTTGTTTCTCTTCCCACTAGAATAGGAATTTTTGTCTGTTTTTGTTTACTGCTATATCCACAGTGCTTCAGACAATGCCAGGCAGATAGTAGAAACTCTAATATTTATTGAACGGTTGGATAAAGAAGGGATATGAGACACCTAACACTGCTCACTCACTTTCTTGCTCCCTTAATATTAAGTCCCTAACTTTTGCTTTCGAACAAAATACGCTGTTCTATTTTAAGGGCTCCCAATAGAGATCCACTGAAATCCATCCTGTCAAGAAGTGACCAGCAAACACTGACATTACATCTGTCTCAATTAATTGCATCAAAGTCAGTGTCAGCACATCAGCCTTCCCCATACCTTGTAGAAGTTTTTGGAATTCAGAACAACACAGTACAAATTATAGGTAGACTTTAGGATTAGTCACAGCCTAGAAAGCTACTCCTGTAAATGAGAAATACGTTTTGTTGTTAGTGTTGTTTCCTTCTCAAATAACCAGGGTCATCAAAACAGTGGATATTCAAAACGCTAAATATTGATAATACTGATTACAGTCTGCCTTCAGCCATCTCACTCTGAATTGAGTCATGTGGTATGACCAGAGGCTGAGCTTTCCTTGTGGTTTTCCAGAAGCAGGTGACATGTAGACATGTAGACATGTTTGAGTGGTTAAGACCACAGGGTTTGGGATCAGACTCACCTGGCTTTGAATTCTGGCTTCGATGCTACTAGCTGTGCAAACTTGGGTGACTTACTTAACCTCTTTGAACTTATTTCATTATCTATTGCCAAATGATTTGAGTTGTTGTGGGTTAAAATAGATCTAAGTATTTGGCAATTATGACTGATGCATAGTTAGTGTTCAAAAACTGGTAATCATATTCATTCTGGAAAGCCAAAACAAAGTCATAAATATTCAAGATAATCAAGTATTTTATGAAGCACAGTAATAATAAAATTGTTTTCTGCAGTGACATCCACTGTGACTCAGGTTTCAAAGCTTTCCAAGAATAGCTTTCCAAAATTGTTATGTGCCAGGCATAGTGCTAGGCAGTATTGCTGACATACGCATAACACATATTCCTGTCCTCCAGAGACTCACAGTCTTGTGGGATAAACAGCCAAGTAAATAATTATCACTCCCTGTGACTGTGCTGGGCCTCAGTTCAGCCTTTTCTCTTAGCACCTACTCATAGGATCCATGTTTAAGCAACAGTCTGGGACCTCAGAAGGGACAGACTGGACCACTGGCATCCCTGGGCATCATTAAAAAAAATTTTTTTATTTATTTATTTTAGGTGGGGAGGGGCAGAAGAAGAGGAAGAGAGAATCCTCAAACAGACTCCCTGCTGAGCGGGGAGACCCACATGGGACCTTGAGATCCCAGGACCCTGGGATCATGATCTAAGCCAAAATCAAGAGTTGGATGCTTAACTGACTAAGCCATCCAGGCGCCCCGACTATTTTCTTTTTATAAACTATGACACCAAGTCAATAGCTCATTCTATACACAGAGCAAATATTTAAGTACTTAATATACAAATATTTAAATGATGCCCAGCTGGGCACCTGGTGTCTTGGGGTCCAAGACTCTGTGAGACTAAGTCCCAAGTTGAGTCAGGTTCTGTGCTGGGCATGGAGCCTCCTCAAGAGTCTCTCTCTCCCTCTCCCTCTGCCCCTCCCCTGCCTCTCTCTCTGAAAAAAAAAGAAAGAAAAGAAAAAATAGTCAACCCCAACTCACAGACTGTTATAAAGTTGGATATCAGGCCCTCAACATGGTGGTAATACTCTAAGAGCTCAAGACCTACCAGCTGCTTCATTATTATTCTATTAACAGTATGGCTCTCTGTCTCTTCAAAAGGATACTAGAAAGGATCACTAGAATTTACAATTAAGGAAAGGAAGCAACATACCTTTGTATAGCATGCTATCATTTGTGTTAAAAAAAAAAAAAAGAGTAAACGAAGGGGCACCTGGGTGGCTCAGTCAGTTAAATGTCTGCCTTTGGCTCAGGTCATGATCCCAGTGTCCTGGGATGGAGCCCCAAGTTGGGCTCACTGCTCGGTTGGGGGAGTCAGCTTCTCCCTCTGCCCCTCCCCCCTGCTCATGCTCTTTCTCTCTCAAATAAGTAAAATCTCAAAATATATATTTAAAAAAAAGAGCAAATGAGGATAAAGATTTGCTTATATTCACCTTTGCGTTTGCCACAAAAAGCTCCTAACGGTACTCACCTATGTGTATGTAGAGGGGGAGACTAGGAGCTGGAGAGGGGTTAATAACAGAAGAAAACTTTAAGGTATATATACACTCATATATATGTGAACATATATATATATGACATACAAATATATTCGAAGAGATTTCTTAATTAAAAAATACTTTTTTCTGATAGTCAAGAAAAAGATGGGATAATGAGATGGCCCAGAAGCTGAGTGGGGAAATTAGCAGTCCTATAAGGACTGTAAATGCCAGTGTAAATACCAGTCGTACAAGGACAGGGCCAAGGAAGAGGCCCAGCTCAGTGCCTCAGCAGTAAAAATTGCTCCACAGAACTGAGAAGTGGCTATGCTCCAGTGAGCATTTAAAAATCCCGTCTGAGCCCTTCCCTGCCTGCAAACATTCACTGAATCCCCATTAGCCTTAAAAGGAAGCCTTGGTTCCTTAGTGCTATATTACCTCTTCTCCACACTCTGGCCCCAACACATCTTCCCCATTTTATCTCCATCTTGTTAGCCCTTGGCTCTAGCCAACCTGGGCTAACCACACCCAAAACACCTTACCCAGGGTCACACTCGGAACCTCTAGCCACCACAGATGGCTGTGCTTTCTATGTGTAGGTCTAAGGCAGCTGTGGAGGGGAGGGGCAAGAGAGGATCAAATCTAGGCCAAGTTCTGCTAAACAAGCCTGCATTGAAGTGCATCATGGGTTGGGCTGGGAGGAAGGGGTGCTCTTCTGTGACTGGTCTGCCCAGAAGGAAGTCTTATTGTACATGTGCACAAAAGCAGCCCCTGGCATTTGCCCCATACCATTCTCCTCTGCCTTTAATGACCTCCTTACCATCCAAACTCCCATCTGACTTCACGCTTCTTCATAAAACCTCCGCAAGCCACTACAACTCCATAGTGACTCCCTCTCCCTTTAAATCCATATAATTCACTTGCCATCTAAGCAGAACACTATAGCTTTGTGTTGCTGGGGGTTGTTTCGGTTGCTATTTAATTTTTATCTTTATGAGTATGTTTTAAGCCCCAACTAGCTTGTAAGCTCATTGAAGACAGGACAAACATTTTTTGGATTCCTTCAAATTTCCCAGGAGACTGTCATTCTCTCAGCAGGTGATCAGTAAACATTTGCGGAACAAACCTTACATACAAATAACATCTCAAGCAAGAGTCAGTCTCAGGGAATTTACTGGTACAGCAAGAGGGAGCAGGAAGGAAAGGCAGCTTCAGGAATTGGACCTGGCACAAGGCCTCTGATGTAAGAAACCTTAAGAGTATGAAAGGACCACCAAGACAACATCAGTGTCTTGATTTTTAGCTTCTTTTCTCTGCTTCTAGTTACCATGAAGACAGGCTTCCTTTCCAAGCAGGGTCTTCAGATCCTAGCAATCGCTGTCAGGGCTAGGGACCAGCATCGTTCATTTCCTTATCCAGCTCCTAATAACATACATTTTTAAAGTTTATGCATTTATTAGAATGAGTAGATAACTGGCTTGGTTATCAGATTGGCTTGTATTTCCCTTTGTCATCTAAAGGACAGATTGCTGCATTATCAAGTGATGCTGTAAGTGTCAGAGTAAGATATTTGCCACGAAGTTATTTTGGGAAATATTTTCTGTGCCTTTTTTCCAGAACGTTGCAATGGCCAGTTTTTTTCCTGTTTGAGCTTTACCTGACCTTAAAAACTGTCAAGGGCAGATGTCGTCCACTTCCTGTTCTAGAAGATTTCCACTGCTCAGATCGCTTTTCCTCTGTGTTGCTGCCTGGCTTACTACCTCCCCCTTCATGAGGCTGCATCTCTACAGGATCTGCTGATCTTGCAGTTGCCCTTCAGGTCATCGATTGCTGCTTTAGCAATAACAAGGGCAACAGTTTTGATCATGGTCATTGCCAGTTTACGTTCCCCTTTTTAAAAGAATTATGCACATTTCAAATATTTTAACCAGGCCTATGGAGAAGGCTTTCTATTTCACAATCCAACCAAAGAGAAGACAAAAAAAAAAAATTCAGTATAAGCTAGATATCTGGTTTCAAGTAAATTCTCTGCAAAGGACTCCATTTAGGCTATTAATAAAATTCAGTTATGTGTATTTTGTGCCCTATTCTCAATTTTTAATACCGCATCTTACCCTCCTTCATGACCGCAGCCAGGATGTTATCTCCTGGCTCTTCTTTTTCCTCCTTAGCTCAGCTATTTTTTCTTCAAAATATGTCTTCTTTACCTGATAGCCTATTTGGAGGAAAGGACAACCTTAAGACCCAAGGTGGACCCCTCTTTGGAACAGAAACAACATAAGAATATGAAGCAGGTTCTGCAGCTGCATTGCAATGTGACTGGAATGAATAATAGCTTTTCATTCTGTCTAGCATCTCGCTCCACCTACCGAATGGGAGACAGTGCCATCTCTGCCTCATGGTGATATTACGACACATCCAGAAAAATTCATAAAGCACCTTGCAGAGTGGGCCTATCCACATTGTGGTTTTCACTTTTCATTGGAGTCACAGGCAGAAACGCATCAGACAATAGACATCCGCTCTGGAATTTATGGGAAAGACATACTCCAGCTAATGGAAGCAAAAGAAACTAATATCGTTAAAACACATAATCCGCCGCCCCTAAAGCATTCACAAGAGTTGTAAAGAGACACTAACCTGCAGGGCCCCCTCCCACTTCGGCCGCAGTGGTGGGCGGAGCTTGGTGCTTGGCCACGCCCCCTCGCGTCTGGTTTCCCGGAGGGGCGCGGCCCACCCCGGCCTCCCGCGCGGACGCAGCGCGAAGCCAGTTTTTGCCCCTCCTTCCCCGCAGGAGCGCGGAGGGACAGTTCTTGCGCTTGCGCCCTGCCTCGCTGGGCACCTAGGCGCGACCGCCGCCCGCCCGAGAGCCTTTTGTGCGCCTGCGCGCTCGCGCTCCCGCCCTCTCGCTGCGCTCGGCTGAGTCAGTCAGTCTGTCGGAGTCTGTCCTCGGAGCCGGAGGAGCGAAGGGGCTTCTGAGAGCTTGCTGCTCGATAATTTTCTTTCCCCTCCCTCTCTCCCGCCCCACATCTCTCTTCACCCCTTTCCTGCCCTTGCTCGCGCAGCCATGGCGGAACCGTCGGCGGCCACTCAGTCCCCGTCCGTTTCCTCGTCGTCCTCCGGGGCCGAACCCTCAGCGCCCGGCGGCGGGAGCCCTGGATCCTGCCCCGCCCTGGGGGCGAAGAGCTGCGGCTCCTCCTGTGCGGGTGAGGCGCGCCGGGGGAACCCCGCCTTCGAGGGGCTTGTTTTTGGGGTCGGGGAAGGCAAATCACCCTCGCCTACTGGAGGCTTCAGCCCCCGGGAACGAGCGTCTGGAAAATGGGCTAAGGGGGAGGGGAGCGTAAGGTGGTGCAGGCGGTGAGGAAATAACGGGGTGTGAGGCAAACAGGTTGGGGGCGGGGAGATATTCTAGGGAGTGGGCGTTAACGCCGAGGCAGGGTAGGTGGGGAAAAACAGCAGTTTGGGGGAGTCGTCCGCTGAACGGGGGTTTAGTGGAGGATTAGAGAGATTGAGAGGATTGGGGCAGATTGGTTGTAGGAGAAAGAACTAGTTACGATTTTGAGGGGTTAATGGTGAAAGGGTTGCATTGCAGGTTTGCGGACAGATGTTGACATAATCAGAAATTCATGGTAGTCTTGCAAAAAAAAAATTTTTTTTTGGTTTCCCGTGGGGAGGATCAGGAAGTTTCATGGAAACATGGTAGCCGTTTTCTGTACCCTTTTTATTTGCGTGTGTGTGTGTGTGTGTGTGGCTAGACTCTCTAAATGCCCGCTTTTCTTAGGCTCTGAGGTAAGAGGAGGCGTGATGAGAATAGCTCAGGAAGATTTGGGAGGGAGCAGCTGATGGTCCAAGATGGATCCGTGGCTGCATCTGCAGCACCGCTTGCTCTTCACTGGCGCGGCGTGGGGGTGGGGACAAGCAATCAGTTGCTTATATTCTAGAAGATACAGTAAGAGTCATGCCAAGCCATCAACACATTTTGATTTCATGCTCTCTGTGGGCTGTTATTGATCCCATTGTAACAAAAGGGGATGTTTAGCGCAGAAAGGGGGAGGGGAGAAAAATTAGACAAAGCAGGAGCTGGTTGAACCCCATTCTCCTATCTCTGTGAAAGACTAGGAGGGAAGCTGCAGGCCGCTTTTAGTTTCCATTGTATATGCGTTTGCCTGCTGGTGGGAGCTGGCTGGCAAGCTCAAGCTCCCCTCATGCAGAGATCTGCAGTGCAGATGCCTTCTTGAGGGGGAAAAAAAAAATGCACCCTGAGCAGGTGGTGGTTCTTAAAGGAACTCAGTCTTTGAAGAAAAGAAGACAACCTTTTTGTCAAAATAAGTGGGCCATAAGCCCGGGAGAGTACAGATAATTTTGCCCTTTATTTAGTTACCTTAAAGGATTTTGAGGGGTTTTAAAATACTTCACTGTCTCCTTTGCCAGAAGCTTAGGTTGATGTAAGGAATGTAGAATTTCTGATCTTCACTTTAAATACATTCTTTAGGTGTTGGGTTTTGGTTTTTGTTTTAATTAATCTCTACACCCAAGGTGGGGCTCAAACTCACAACCCCGAGATCAAGAGTTGGATGCTCCACCAACTGAGCCAGCCAGGTGCCCCTTTTTCTGTAGGTGTTTTTTGAACAGTGGATTTCCACATAAGAGCTTTGGTACCCTTTTGGATTTTCCACTGTGATTTTGGCCATTTCAGTAGAAACAGTATCAAAGGAAGCTTCTGCAAGGTCGAGATTAGCTGTCCAGATAGAGGAATGAGGTCGCAAATTTAGAACTCTTGTTACCTTTAAACCAGCGTTTCTCCTCCAAATTTTTGTGTTCTGGGCAAAGGTCCAGATGAACAGCAGCTTCCCTCTAACTTAGCAACTTCGTGTTTTGGATTTAATCACTTCTCATTGCTTACCGTTTGGTTGTTGGCCTTTTTGTATGTAGCTTTTGATACTTCTTGATTTTAAATTTTTGATTCACCTGAAAAATAGATACTTTGTCTTAAATTCTTATCTATTGTAGATGTGTATTAATATTATCTAAAAAAGCATTAATACAGTTTTGGTGGGCCTCATTTGTCAGGTCACTACTTGAAAAGTTTAGCTTAAGATACTGCAATGTGTAGTTATCATTCCATTGGAGAAGCTCTTCCCCTTGCAGAATATTTTCTCCATACCTCAGAGGAAATGTCCTAGGCTTCTGCACTATGAAAATAAGGTGAAGTTTGTTACTCCACAATTTAACCTATTTAAAATGGATATTTAAAAATCTATCTTGATTGCTTAAAAAAACTACAAGTGTTGACGTCAACCTTCAGCTTCATATTCTTTCACCAAACTCAGCTTGGTTTTAGAGACTTTCAAAAAGTAAAAGAAGTGGTTGCTTGATGTCCTGCAGGAAAAAGTTTTGTCTCGATTGACCTATCCAGTAACAGCTTTGAGAAATATTAGTTCCTACTAAAGGTAGAGAATGAGTGTCCGCACTCCCTGGTCTAGTGCCTTGGGTACTGGTGCAGCCAGCATTGTAACATGCTTGGAGAAGGAGGTCAAGTGCCAGAATTGGCTTTCCAGATTTCTGCCTTTGAAGAAAATCAAAGATCTCAAAGGCAGAAAATTGAGATTAAGGTAAGAGAAACTTAAATATTTGGTGTTCTTTTCAGGAAGAGAATTGCCTTTATTAGGCATCAAGTATAGGTACATGTCTGTTGTCTGAACTTTAAAAGTTTACTGTTTTTATAGCATTTGAAATTCTGTAACTTGCCAGAAACTGTTCTTTATTATTGCTATGAAAATCATGATGCCAGAATAAAGCTGCATTTCTTTTATCTGTTCATGGAAATTAACTCAAAGCAAAAACAGCTTGCACAATTAAAAAAAAAGTTTTTGCTTTAAATACTTATTTTCCTTACTCATGAAACTTAGTTGTCCTGTGTAGTTTTTATGGCACCATTTCACACTTTGTCCTATTATGTCAATCAAATGTGAGTATGTAATTTGCATTTTTCATCTTAACCCTTAGAAATCTACTTGTTTAGCACTGACATTATTATATTCATGTCAGATTGTCAGTGGCAATATAACATGGTGATAAACACACAGATTTGAGCTCCAGAGGCACAAAGATTTCAAGCCTAATTCTCTTAATTGTATGACCTTGTGCATATCGTGAGCCTCAGCAATATGACCTAGGCAAATTTGCTTTGTGCCCTAAAATCCGAACTCTCATTGAGTAAAAATATCTAATATTTGATACATCTGTTCGCAGTTTATAAACTTTGCACATACATACAAAATAGCAATTGAATTACAAGTGAGAAATCATAATCTTCCTCAAGATGAAGTAAGATCTGGTAGGACTTCTTTTTAAAAGTTTGACCTTTCCCATTAATGTCTCAAAGCTACCAGCCCTTTCATTCAGCTAGTCTATTAGAAGGGAGGTGGGGGGTAGCCAAAGTGTTTTGTAGATAGCTTGACATGACACCAATATGCTTAAATATTGGAGTGCCAGGCTGACTCAGTGGAAAAAGCATGGGACTCTTGATCTTGGGGTGGTGAATTTGAACACCACGTGGGGTGTAGAGATTACTTAAGTAAATAAATGTTTAAAAAAGGTATGCTTAAGTACTGTCTGCAGCATTCTAACCATAAGTGTAGTTCTGATGCACTAAGAACCTACTGTCACTGGAAGCAAGAGTACAGGAGACAGCAAGAATGGTCGTGTCAGTATGGTTTACATTTGCCTGTTGAGTTGGGGTTTTTTGTTCCCCCAGAATAAAAGGTTTCTTTTAATGCTTTTTTCCTCTTAGAGTCACATTCACAAATAATTTAACCATTCTGATCGAACAAACCAGTCTCATACATTTGACAGGTATACCTTAACCTTAAATTGAAATCTCTAGAGGAGGGCGCCTGGGTGGCTCAGTCGGTTGGGTGGCTGCCTTTGGCTCAGGTCGGGATCCCAGGGTCCTGGGATCGAGCCCCACATCGGGCTCCCTGCTCGGCGGGAAGCCTGCTTTTCCCTCTCCCTCTGCCTGCCTGCCGCTTCCCCTGCTTATGCTCTCTATCTTTGTCTCTGTGTCATATAAAAATAAATAAAATCTTTAAAAAAAGAAAAAAGAAATCTCTAGAGGATTGTTTATTAAATTGCTGGTAAGTGCATTGTTTTTAATTTTTGTGATTTTAGAGATGGTCTGAAAACAAAACAAAATGAATATCATTGCTTTTATTGTATTCTGTGGTAAGGAAATTATATATTTGTCCTGACACAGGACTCACTGTTTTTGTTTTGGGGTGGGGGGGAACGACTCACCTGTTTAATCCTGTTCATGTTTCAAGCACTTGTAAATGAAGTTTGGTGGTAAAGGAATTGGTGACATGTCATTGAAGTTTAGGGAAAGTTAAATTTTCCAGTTTTGAGGTTGTTTGTTGTATAGAAAGCACTACTCTTTAGTAGTAATCCTGGAACTTACCGTTTTTGTAATTCCAAGTGGAATTATAAAGTCCCCAAATAAATGAATAACTATGCATATTTGTTGATGTAATTAGCTTATAGTTTGTGTGTTTGACTTTATTGTTAATGGTGAATTTATAACTGCCTCCTAAACTGTATAAACTTGTGAAAAATATATAAATTTCATAATAAAACTTTTTAGGTAAAAATTATCAAGTTGACATTATGTTCATATAATTATTTCATTCAGAAGTTGCCCAGGAAACTGACTTACCTTTTATTCAGTTCATTTATAAAGCTGTTAATTCTAGAATTATTTTTGGCATTGGGTATGCTAAAGATGTTTTGAAAAATTGTGTATGCCAAGTAATTTTAGCTATAATCAGTACTGCTTGTGATTGCATTATTGAAGTCTTTTGCTGTATTTCCATGATGTATGTAAGACATGTTTCTCTGTGAAACTGCAATTCTCAGAGAGAATCCCTTTAAATACTGTATAGGATTTGTTTTTTTTATTTTGTTAGGAAAGGGTGTAATTGTCAGTAGGTAGCCCACTCTCATGAATTTTTTTTAAATTTCAGAGGAATGTACTTCTCTCTTTTCTCCAATCAACTGTTTTATTTCTCCCTGTAAGCACATCATCATAACCTAACCAGGAGAAGTGTGAGCTTTCTGACATGTTCCTCATTGGCCGCTCGCCCTTAGGTTATATTGAAGGGTATTTGGGGAAAATTTTTTAAGCAAAACTGATAGAGGCCCTTTTGTCCTGTTACCTGAAAGCATTTCAACAGTGAGAAAGAAGTGTCTTCATTTTAATTAGGAGGTAGAAATATTTGATTTTTATGTCTTATATTTGTGTATTGCTTTATGGTTTAAGTTTTGCCTATCCATTAATTTAACAAATGTTTGAGCATACAGTAAAGCTCTTTGGAAAATAGGAAAACAAAACAGATCATCTAGATCTCTGGAGGCTGTATTTAATAGGAGAAAGCCTTATGTTATGTTTATCTGTGACATAGGTAGTGATATAAGCCTCATTTTACAGATGAGAAATCAGGCTCAGAGAGATTGACATGCCTAAAGGTTTGTTGCTGTAACATTGAGGGTAGGATAAAACTAAGGGATTGAGGGCCCAATTCAGGTCTCTTCCAAATATATATACTGCCTGTCTTTAAAATTTGAAACAGCATGTGATAAAAATCATTCAGTCACCCTCTTCACCTCAGTTACTGGTTGAAGTTAAAAATTTTAATTTCTGGTCCCATGCTTCCTAAGCCAGGTGCCTTTTTGCTCCACTTTTCTACAGAAACTTTTTTGTCACATTCATTAGCTGTTTTCCACATTGTTAAGTCTGGTGGCTACTTCTCAGATCTCATCTTAAATGCCTTGTCAGCAGCGTCTGGTAAAATTGATCACTTGCTTCCTCATTGAAATACCTTTCTCGTTTGTCTTCCACACCACCACGTACTCTCACTGGCTGCTCCCCCTGTGTCCTTTGCTAGTTCTTCTTCTTTTCTTTTAATTTAAGATAGAGTTCACATAACATAAAAGGCACCATTTTAAAGTCTGTCTAGTTCCAGAACATTTTCATCCCCCCCCAAAAAGACACTCTGTACCTGTGATCACTCTCCATTCCTCCCTCCCTCCATTCCTTGGCAACCACTAATCCTTCTGACTCTGTGGATTTCCTTCATATTGGTATTTCATATTGCTATAATTCTTTTTGTCTTCCCAACTTCTAAAATGTAGAGTACTCCAGGACACACTTCTCGGAACTTTTCTCTTTGCATTGGTCTCATTTATGATATCCATCTTGTAGTTTGAAATACCATCTATAAATTGGTGACTTCCAAAACTTTATCTTTAGTCTTCATGTCTAATGGGCATTTCAAACTTAACTGTGTCTAAACCTGAACTCCTGATCTTTCCTTTAAATCTATTCTTCACACACTTTCTGCATCTCAATAAATGGTCATTCGTCATCCATCTCTTGCCCAAATCAAAAATCTTGGAGTACCCTTGACTCCTCTCTTTCCTTCATACAACCATCAGCAAATCCTATTGATTCTATCTTCAGAATCTATCCAGTGTCTAACCATTTTTCTCCACTCCCGTTGTTACCACCCTAGCCCAGGTTGCTGTTGTAGCTCTCCTGGATTATTGCACTTACCTGCTAACTGGTCTTAAAACTTTATCCCTTGCCTCTTTTCATTCTGTTTTCCATACAACAGCTGGTGTAAGCCTGTGAAAAAATAAGTCAGATCATGTCACTCATGGGCAAATGTTCCAGTAGCTTCCGATCACACTCATCAGAGTCAATGCCAAAGTCCTTAGAGGGCTTTTGAAGCCTTATGATATCTGGCCTCAACCTCCCTCTTACTCACTCAGCTTTAGCCACACTGGCTCCCTTGTTGTTCTTCACACCTCAGAGTCTTATTTGCTGTTCTCTCTGCTTAGAATGCTCTTCCCCATTTATCTTTGCAGCTTTTCTCTCCCTCATCTTTGTTAGGTCTTTGACTTACCTTATCTAAATTGCACAAGAAAAAAATACCTTATAGGTATCCCCTGCTTTATTTTTCTTACCATCTGTCATAATCTTCCTATCTTTACATGTATATGGTATGTAATCTGACTGACTTTGTTTATTGTCTGTCTTCCACACTAGATATAAGTTCCACCAGAGTAGGGGTTTTTGCTGTTTTATTCACTGCTCTATTTCTAATGTCTGAGCAGGACCTGGTGCAAAGCAGGCGCTCAGATATTTTTGAATGAGCAACTAATCATTTTTATTCAGCAACTAAAACTAGTCCTTGGTTCGTAATAGGTGTTCAATAAATATTTATGGAATGAATGGAGAAATTCTATTTCCAGAAAAACATGCGTATAAACAAAGTATTGCATACGCTTTCACAAGGTCCATAGTGCATGAACTACAAAATTGTTCATAGACTGCAGATTAAGAATGTTTGGTTTTTGAAAATTGAATTACAAGTTTTGCAAAAAGTTAACCCCTATGGAAATTGACAGCCACGAGAGTTTTTATGTAAGCCCATAAAACTGTATCTGTGATATATATATCTTATGTGTAAGATTGGTTTCTTTTACTATTCTGTTTACTTCTGGACTCATGGTATTTTCCACGAATGGCTTTAATCCAAAAAAGTTTCTTTTTTTAATCACTTGAATGCCACGTTTTGCTATGTTACAAAGAGACTCCATTTCTAATAAGGACTCAGTGGTAGGCTAGTCTGATGTGTCAGGATTTTTAAATATGTTAAAATAAGTTTAATTTCCATCTTATTCCTAACAAAATCTGAGGTTTTGATTCAGTACATTGATCTTGAACATTATTTGGAAAAGGGTAAGACATTTCTAAAAGTATATGCACTATTTTAGAAGTTGGGTGATTAAGGGGAGCCTGGGTGGCTCATTCAGTTAAGCAGTCTGCCTTCAGCTCAGGTCGTGATGTCCATGATGCCAGGGGCCTAGGATTGAGCCCCATGTAGCACTCCCTGCTCAGCGGGGAGCCTGCTTCTCCTTCTCCACCCCACTTGTGCTCTCTGTCGCTATCTCTGTCTCTCTGTCTCTCAAATAAATAAATAAAATATTTTTAAAAAGTTGAGTCATTAAAATATTTGTAACCAATTTCCTATTTACACAGTCCATTTTATTTCTTTCTGTTAGACTTTCTAATTGTGTTTCTTTTGCAACAAGAATTCTGCTTGTTCTTCCTCTCAGACTGCATATACATTTACTCCATAAATGTACAAAAAAAGCCTTCCAACTCTTTTAGGGTTCAGAAGAGTTACAGTGGGAAGTGCTTAGGGACTTGCTTCCAGAGAGTACTGTATGGAAGGATGGGAGAAAAATACTACCTGGAGAAACCAGGCAAACCATCTCAGCCAGGGGATCGAGGTTAACATCTTCAGTGATAAGTCATATTGATACCACGTACCCTTGATATGTTATGACAAGGATGGCCCTTTACCTAAGTGGTAATCTTCCCCAAAACTCCATTCTAACCATGAGACAAACTCAGGATTGAGGGACATTTTGACCAATATTCCTCATATATCTGACCAATACTCCTCAAAACTATCAAGATCATTAAAAGCAAGGAGGAGAGACTGAGAAATTGTCATAGTCCAAAAGAGGCTAAGGAGACATGATGACAAAATGTGATACGGTGTCCTGAATGGGATTTTGGGACAGAAAAGGCATTAGGGAAAAATTAATGGAATCTGAATGAAGTATGGAGTTTACTTATTAGTAATGTGTCAGTGTTCATTAAATGTGACAAATGTACTACTATATTAATGTAACTTGTTAACAATGGGAGAAACGGAGTGCTGGATATAAAGCAACACTCTACTACCTTTGGGCCTTTTCTGTAAATCTAAAATTATTCTAAAATAAAAAGTTTCTTTGTTTTTTAAAAAAAGCCTTAATCATGAAATCAGAACTGCTTTGGACAAGGTAAGGAGGTCCACTTTCACCACTAATATTCAGTAATACAGTAGAGGTCCTAACAAAAATATAAGGGAAAAAATGACATAGAGTTTGCGGGGGGGGAAATTGGTCTGCCTATCCCTGGAATTCTAATAGGACAGTGGGTATTGGCTCAGTGTAGGAGCTTCTACGGAAATGATATGAGTTGCCATCGGGAATTGTGGTCATGGGAAAGAGTGGAAAAACCCTTTTCGGAGAGCCTAGCTTTATAGGCCAAAAGGAAAACTGTAAGTGACAAGAATCTTTTAGTTTTTTGGGTTTTTTGTTTGTTTTATTTTTGTGAGCAAGCGAGAGCACAAGTGGCGGGGAGGGATAGAGGGAGAAGAAGAAGGCAGATGCCTGCTGAGCAGGGAGTTACGTGGGGCTCCATCCCAGGACCGTGACCCGAGTCGAAGGCGGTTGCTTAACTGACTAAGCCACCCAGCCGCCCCGTTTCAAAAATCTTTTAACAGTAGAAAGAAAAGATGTTTGAAAGAGCTAATGAATTTCTAATCTTCATTATATTAATTTTAGATAAAATTTCAAACACTCCTTTTCCTTATGTGTTGGAAGATGCTTTAATCTATAGAAACTAACAAAAAGGCAGACATTTTGAGGTTCAGTGTAGAGGTCATTCATTGTACAAAGTTGTTCCTAAAAGTAACTTTGCTCCTTTTCTAAAAAATAGAGTTTGTAGGGGCGCCTGGGTGGCTCAGTCGTTAAGCGTCTGCCTTTGGCTCAGGTCATGGTCCCAGGGTCCTGGGATCGACACCCCCCACCCCCCCCACACCCCTCTGCATCGGGCTCCTTGCTCAGCTGGGAGCCTGCTTCTCCCTCTCCCTCTCTCACTCTCCCTGCTTCTGTTCCACCCCCCCGTCAAATAAATAAATAAAATCTTAAAATATATATGTATGTAGTTTGTATTCTGCTGGTGTTGAAGGACAGTTATCACTAAAATGAACAGTTCATTGGAAAAGTATATTCACTGGGGGTTAGAAAATTCAAACATTTATTTGGTTTATTTTCCCCCCATCTCAATCAAAACTTGAGTCTCCTGTCCAATCCAGCGCACCTCTCTTCCTCTCCCCTCTACCCCCAACAGTACCTAGCAGAGGCTTGACACAAATTTGAAAACCTACAGTAGTGGACCATTTGGTCTTTTTCCTCCTGTTTTTCCACTTCTCACCCACTCAAAATGCAGCTGGAGAGAAGGGTGAAGAGGTAAGGAGACAAGATCTTATCTTACTGGTCTGAGTAAAACACTGAGGTTTTTGGTTTTTTTTAAGATTTTTATTTATTGAGAGAGAGAATGGTAGAGAGAGAGCATGAGAGGGAGGAAGGTCAGAGGGAGAAGCAGACTCCCCTCTGAGCAGGGAGCCCGATGCGGGACTCGATCCCGGGACTCCAGGATCATGACCTGAGCCAAAGGCAGTCATCCAACCAACTGAGCCACCCAGGCGCCCAAACTTACTGACTTTTAAAATGTAAACCTGAGTAGAAAATTTTTAGGTAAGTAGCATACACATTTCAGATCAGCAATATAAGGACAGGTGATATGACTGGTAGAATGATAAAGAAAGGCACAGACTTTCAAGAAAAGTGCAGATTTTTTTTTTTTAAAGATTTATTTGACAGAGACACGGCGAGAGAGGGAACACAAGCAGGGGGAGTGGGAGAGGGAGACGCAGGCTCCCCGCAGAGCAGGGAGCCCGATGCGGGGCTCGATCCCAGGACCCTGGGACCATGACTTGAGCGGAAGGCAGACACAATGACTGAGCCACCCAGGTGCCCCGAAAAGTGCAGATTTAAGTACTGATAAAAGCTTCACGTTTTCGTGGGGTTTTTTAAATCTTAAATGAGTTTTGTAAGGATTTCATTTAATATGTATATAAATATTTAGCTCAGTGTCTATCACAGATATTCAGGACTCAGTAAATGGAAGGACCTGTTTTCAAAAAGGCAGGATTTTTGGCCCGGGGAGGGGGGATAGTTTTGACAGTTTCTTGCAGATGAGAGTCTTACAAGTATTGAAAATCTAGTGGTGTAAAGACTAAAAAGATTATTCACTCAAGTTTTATTGAAAGACTTGGTAAGAGATCCCATTTTAGGTGTTCTTTTTCTCTTCAAAGGTTGCTAACCTGTTCCCTGTAGAAGAGGGGAATAGGTATGTGTTGGGAAGTTGTAATTCTATTTTTTTTAAAGATTTTATTTATTTATTTATTTGACAGAGAGGGATCAAGCACAAGCAGGGGGAGCAGGAGGAGAAGCAGGTTCCTTGCTGAGCAAGGAGCCCAATGCGGGACTTGATCCCAGGACGCTGGGATCATGACCTGAGCTAAAAGCAGATGCTTAACTGACTGAGCCACCCAGGCATCCCAGGAATTTAAAATTCTTGAAAAATGTACGTCCATAACAAAATTTAGGAAAATGAAAGTACAAAGAAAATTAAAAATCAGCAAGTACAACCACCAAGTTAACATTTTCATATATATCCTTTCATTTGTAACAAAATGATAAGCTTTTTTGAAATAAGAATACAAGTTCATTATTTTCAAAATCTCAAAACACAGAAGAAAAAATATTTTTTTAATTTTCATAATCGCTCTACTCAATAAATATCATCCCTTTTTCATCTTATGTGAATTTGTATTTTTTACCAAAATGGGGTCATGTTGTTTTAAGTTTTTTTATACTGTTCTTTTTTATTCAGTGTCCTATCAACATTTTTTTTTAAGATTTTATTTATTTATTTGA